AAGTAATTTCGTTTGAAAGTAATTGCGCCAATTATATAGTGATTGCGTGTTGAAGTGCATTTTGCAATATTTAACTTGCTTGTGTGACGTGGAATCTTGCGCGCGCGCCGAGTACAGATACGGTCTGGAATTTGAAGCTCGCATTCCATTTCGAGGGCGTGGCCCGGTTAATTGGTTTTGGAAGTCATTGTTTAATAGTACCGTCGCGTTAAGAGCCTTTTGTGGGTTGACTCGGTAGTTACTTTGCATGTCAGTTAGGCGGATTTTCAATTCTTAATGCGGGCGTAGTATTCAATATCGTACGAAGGAATTTAGTTGTTGTTTGTAACGCTGAACTTTGTGACTCGTGAAGAGATCGCGTTAGTTGCCTATTTGTAATTTGGTGATAAATGAATCCGGAACATTAAATATTGAACTTTGAACTACTGTTCGTTACTTGTGTCGGGTATCACGTGTTTGATTTTACGATGAACGTTGAATTAGTTGAGTTGAAATTAGTTAAATGTACAATAAAGTTGATAGACTGAAATAGTGACACGAAGAAAGAAGTTGTAACTTGGTGATGCCTGCTGGAGTGATGCAGCATTGTGGGACAGTATGGGCCCAGGCCGCTGCCCGGTCACCTGAGCTGGGCCAGGTCACATAAATAAACACTACTACACACCACTTTACATGCACCTACACCTACCTACGGCCTGACCGAGCCTTGGTGCGGTCTTAGCTTCGGATCCAGGTACGTACTATTTATTTACCTAGCTATATCACTATCGTGTAGGTCAACTGTCCATAGGCCGTTGGGCCCCATCCTTAGTTGTCCGTCGAATCTACCGCTGATAGGCCCCGGGATATTTTGACCTTTGTAGGGGCAGCTAGGGGCGAGTACAGCTTGTAAACACGATACATTTTGAAAATATCAATTGTTCAACTCAATATATTTTTAAAACTTTTTATCTATAATGTGGGAAACCATTGAATGTAAATTGCAGTTTAATTTTGTTTAGTTTAGTTATAATAAATTTTTTTCTGCTGCGCAATGGCGAAATTTTCGATGTTTTGCGCAGCCTTCTATGAATAAATTATTACTTAATAGAGACTGCTTCACTGAGTTAGTTCGGCGTCAGTCGCCGTCGTGAGTGGATATTGTTACGGTTATTTGCAGCGGCTCAAAAAGATCGCTGTATAAATATACAATATTCGAATATCCAAATTACTTAAATATTTGATTATAATAATAATGAGAGATTTTTTTATTACAATATTTTAAAAGCTTAGAATAAATAATAGTAGTACGTACTAAAAGTAAGTAATATCAAATTTTTCGTCATGGATGTCATTTTCATGGTTTTCGTGGGTGCTGAAGCCGATAGTGCTGTCGAAATGTAAATCCAAGGTGGCGGCTGCAATAAGTATCAATTTTTTCATCACGGGTGTCATTTAATGGTTTTCGAGGGTGCTGAAGCCGATAGTGCTGTCGAAATGTAAATCCAAGTTGGCGGCTGTAATAGGTATCATTTTTTCATCATGGGTGTCATTTTCATGGTTTTCGAGGGTGTTGAAGCTGATAGTGCTGTCAAAATGTATATAAAATACATTAAAAATGCCGTATAATCATATTATACGTAATTTTTTTAATGGGCTTAGGTCATGCTTGTAGGGTATATTATAGTTATTTTTGTTATTGGGTATGTAGGTAGTTGGTATCAATAAAGCTTCCAGTTCGCTGTTCAACTCTGCCCTTTATTGACGTTACATTGGCGACGAGTCCGTTACCACGCGTTGTTTCGTATTATCCAAAACGTTATAAAGTGGTCGTAATTATGCCTATTGGTAAATTAGAGCCGTTCGATTTAGCCAGTAAACAGTGGCCCGCGTATATTCGTCGAGTTCAACAATTTATATTGCTAAACGAAATCAAGTCTGAATTACGAGTTCCTATGTTAATAACCGTGGTCGGCGAGGCGACATATTCGTTGATGTGCGATCTATGTTCTCCTGCACACCCGGAAGACAAAACTTTCGAAGAATTAGTGAGTTTAGTGTCGAGTCACTTAGAACCACAGCGTTCCGAGATTGCAGAGCGCCACGTGTTCCGCTTGCGCAGGCAACTCGGAGGTGAATCACTTGCCGAATATTTGCAAAATCTGAAACATTTGGCTTCGACCTGCAATTTTGGAGTGACACTTGAAGAGAATTTGCGGGACCAATTTGTATCAGGTCTTGCGAGCGAGGCGATGCGGTCCCGTATTTTTGCGGAAAGAAACATTCGGTACAAGGAGGCGGTGGAGTTGGCTTTTGCGCTGGAGGCTGCGGAGAGACACGCGGAGGTGAGTGGTGCCACGGCACCAGCTTCGACCTCAGGTGTTCGGAGCAGCAGTCTAGAAAGAGGCGAAGGTTTACATCAGGCCGGGGAGCGCCGGGGGCGGCGAGACCTACGCTCGGTCTCTAGAGGAGGCACCATGGAGACGCGACGGAGTCAGCGAAGCTCGGGGCCATGTTGGCGTTGTGGAAAGCCACATAGGGCGGATAAGTGCCGATTTGCGCAATACAATTGTGATAAGTGTGGTAGGCGCGGACATCTTAAGGTGATGTGCAAAGAAGTGCGCGACGGGAGGCAGTCGAGCGGCCCCCAGCATTATGTGAGTGACGTGAGTTCTGAAGGAGAGGATTTTTTTAATATCCAGCTGAATGCTAAAGGTAACGAGTCTTATAAATTAACTTTGAAAGTAGATGGACAGCCGTTAGTTTTCGAAGTCGATACCGGTAGTCGCATTTCCACAATAAGTGAACGGTTTTATTTGTGTCATTTTCCGTATAAATCCCTTATCAAAGATAATGTAAGATTACATAGTTATGTCGGTTCGCGAATCGAATCTTTGGGTTTTATATCGGTCAATGTAGCATTGGGAGAGGTCAGAAAAAAAAATTGTTCTTTATATGTAATTCGTAACGGAGGATGCCCTTTAATAGGTAGACAATGGATTCGAGCTCTTGAAATAAATCAAATTAATATTAGTGTTAATGAAATTCTATATGATTCATTCGTGAGCCGACTCATTAGCGAATTCCCCGAAGTGTTTACAGATAAGTTAGGCACTTGTACCGAAAGCGTTCAACTACAGCTCAGTGACGAACAACCTGTGTACGTGCGCGCGCGGCCCGTGCCATTGGCGCTTCGATCCCGGGTCGAACAGGAGCTGAGGAGGCTTGAGGCCGAGGGTACCATTTTTAAGGTGGACCACTCCGAGTATGGTACTCCTATAGTACTGGTTATAAAAGAAAACGGCGATATACGAATTTGTGGAGATTATAAAATTACGATAAATCCAAAGCTCAAGCGGGAGTTTCATCCGTTACCGCGAATTGAAGAACTTTTTGCCAAATTAAGTGGTGGTGAAGAATTTTCGAAAATTGATCTAAAAAATTCCTATCAACAATTACGGCTAACGGAGGATTCTCGGCGTTACACTGCAATTACTACCCATCTAGGCACATTCGTATATCGTCGAACCCCATTTGGGTTGTCGTGTGTTCCCGAAAAATTCCAGAAAATTATGGAAGAGACACTCAGCGGTATACCCGGTACGGTAGTTTTTTTGGACGACGTTTGTGTCACGGGAGCTACGCGAAATAAACATCTGAGTAATTTACGAGCTGTACTTGAACGGTTGCGAACTATGGGCTTTACCGTTAAATCCGAAAAATGTAAGTTCTTACAAAAAAGTGTAAAGTACCTAGGTTTTATTATTGACAAGCAGGGATTGCACCCCGATCCGAAAAAGATGGAAGCCATTTCTAATGCTCCGACACCACTGAATGTGACCCAATTAAAAAGTTTTCTTGGTCTCCTTAATTACTATGGCAAGTTTATTCCTAATCTCAGTACCATTTTACATCCCTTACATTTGTTATTAAACAAAGGAGTTAATTGGAAATGGACTTCAAAATGCGAGCAGGCCTTCCGAGAAGCTAAAAGAGCTTTGTTGGGCGAAAAGGTTTTGGCTCACTATGAGGAAGGGCGGCCACTGGTTCTGTCGGTGGACAGCAGTGCGTATGGGCTGGGCGCAGTCCTAGCACACGTATACCCCGACGGCACCGAGCGACCGGTCAGCTGTGTATCGCGTACGCTTAATGCTTCAGAAAAAAATTATAGTCAATTAGATAAAGAGGCTCTGGCCATATTTTTTGGAATAACGAAACACCACCAATATGTATTCGGTCGACGCTTTGTTTTACGAACGGATCATCAGCCGTTAAGTTACATTTTTGGGAAAAGAGGCGGGATACCACAAACGGCAGCCAGTTGCTTACAGCGGTGGGCTGCCCGATTGGCCGCCTATGATTTTTCAGTGGAGTTTGTTCGCTCGGCTGCTAACGGCCCGGCCGACGCGCTGTCCCGCCTTCCTCTGCCAACCGAACGTCACCAGTCCGCGGTCACGTCCTACATTAATTTACTGGAAGATACTATCCCGGTAAACTTCAAGGATATTAGTATAGAAACAAAAAAGGATACGGTATTGAGCCGAATTACAGGCTATGTAATGTTCGGTTGGCCCTTCTCGACCAAATGCGATGACGAGAAGCCGTACTTTGATAGAAAGCAAGAAATGTTGCTTGATCTAGGCTGCTTGATTTATAAATATCGCGTCGTAATCCCTCCCTCACTAAGGGAACGAGTTTTATTGGAAATTCATGAGGGTCATTTAGGAATGAATAAAATGAAAAATCTAGCTCGAAATTACATCTATTGGCCTGGTATAGACCAGGACATAGAAAACTTATGTCGTAATTGCCAAGCGTGTTGCTCAGTTCGTGATAGTCCTCCCCGAGCCGTTCTGCATCCATGGGAATTCCCTCTAAATCCGTGGCAACGTTTGCATGCAGATTTTGCCGAATACGTGGGCAAGAAATATCTCATAGTTATAGACGCCCATTCGAAATAGATAGAGGTAGTACCGATGGGTCGGACGGATGCCAAAGAGACCATCGCCGCATTTAGAAGTATGTTCGCAAGATTTGGCTTGCCGTCGCAATTGGTCACGGATAATGGACCGCCTTTTATGTCCATAGATTTTAAAAATTATTGTAAAAAAAATTGTATTAGGCATGTGTCATCGGCTCCCTACAGACCTCAGGCAAATGGTGCGGCGGAAAATGCGGTGAAAACCATTAAAAAAGTTATAAAACGGGCGGTTTTTGAAGGAGAAGATATATTACAGGCAATAAACAGATTTTTATTTCAATACCGCAACTGCGAACATGCCACAACCGCGGTGTCACCTGCAGTGGCATTGTTAGGTCGCCGTCTACGCAGTCGCCTGGATGCTTTACGTCCCAACACGGCTGAGGTGGTGCGAAGGGCTCAATATCAGCAGGTTGCCAATTCCGGGGGTTCGGACCGGAATATAGCTATAGGAGACCGGGTGTTGACTAGAAATTATACACCAAAAGGGGGCAAGTGGCGTGAAGGAAAGATAGTAAAAAAAACGGGACCCGTTTCTTATAGGGTCAGCATGGGGGATGGAATCGAGTGGAAAAGACATATCGACCAAGTGATACCAACCAATCGTAAAAGTCGTTATTCCCTTTCGAGGCCTAGCATTAGCGAATTAAAAGAGACCGAGGAGACCCCACACCTGAGGCCTGATAGTGGCACCGATGACTTATTTGAAGATGCAACCGGAGAGGGCAATGACCAGGACGAAAAAGGCAGTTCGAATATTACAGATAATGCAGAGAGAAACTCCTCGTCACCGCCTTCACCGAGTGTATCGGCTAGAGCACTGCGTGCTTATATTCGAGCCAAGAAAAAGGAATTGTAATTATTTTCTTTTTTCTGTGTAATAGGAAAGAATCGGAATTAATGTACAATAACATAAAATCCTTTTGTTGGATGATAGAGTTAGATGTTTTTATTAAATGTTATGTCACTTAGTCATTTAAAGGGGGAATGTGTAGGGTATATTATAGTTATTTTTGTTATTGGGTATGTAGGTAGTTGGTATCAATAAAGCTTCCAGTTCGCTGTTCAACTCTGCCCTTTATTGACGTTACATTCAATAGGATTTACCAATTTTTTAATTTTAGTTCGATCTTGATTAGGCAAAACGTCATTAACCATGCTGGCGACGGGTTGCAGCGTCATCAGTGTAAGACATCTGGTCTTAAAATAATAATAAAAATACTTATGTATGCTTGTACATACTCCAAGCGTCTGGTACGGCGATCGTCAATACGCCAGTTAAAAGAGTTAACGAAAATCATCCTGACAGCGAGAGAGGCCCAGGACTTTTACGGGACAACTACGAAATGATACAAGTATATCACAATTAATATTTCTTTTTTATATTAATCTAAATAAATGAAATAGTTCACAGTTATTGAATTCTCAAAAGAAAATATTGCGGATGCAATTATTTTTTATTTATAAAAATGCCATAGTATATATTTTACACAGATCCACCCCTGCATCGCACCGGTGATTTATGGATGTCGGCTACAGCGTGACCTACCGCGTCCAATTGTAGCTAAGACCCATCCAGGCTACCCCATAAGTATCGCATAATAATTTCGACAAAATTGTTCAAGCATGGACCTGAATTTTGTATATCGATACCTCGGCTCTCAAAGGTCGTATAGCACATTTTGGTCAAATAGAGTTATTTACACCAACTTATTCAGTTTTACATTCTCTAGCGAACTGCATACTCAAAGTAGCGAAATTCTCGAAAAAATGTTCTTTACTACCCAAAAATTTTGGGGCTTTTCGTGCAGTTTTAACATGGATTATGGCTGATAATGACAAATTATTCAAGATTACGTATCATTTAGGTTGTATAAATTGAGTTTACTTAAAGATTAAGAATCTAAAGCACATAATGTTTAAAAAATTTTCTTTACAACCTTATTACATTTTAAACGAAAACCATATTGTCCTTTACTACCTAACTACGTCTTTAGAGAAACTAGCATTGTGCGTTACTATCTAGCAAATTTGAAGATTTATCTTATACGCCTTCTATAACTAAATTGACCTTTACTACTAGTAACAGTTAAAAGATAATTAAATAAATACAACCTAACCAACATTATTAGTCTTTGTCACTTATACAATTTCCAAAAGGACGAATTCTTTTTTTTATAGAATCAGGTGACAAACGAGCACACAGTTCACCTGATGGTAAGTGATTACTGTAAGCCATAGACATCTACATCTATCCTCAATAAAGACTCAAAATGCAGATGCGTTGTCACCCGTGAGGACTAAGATGGAATGCCTCTTGTGCAGTAAAAAGGGTATCCGGTTCTCTACACTCACCATACGAAACACAGCAGCGTTAAGCGGCTTTTTTACGCTGGTATTTTGTGAGAGCGTGGTCCTTCCCCGGTCGAGCCGACCCATTCGTGCTACAACTATATTACTAATATAGCTGCAGCATGGCTCTACCACGTATATATACCACGTATATTCTCTTTAAATCTTCACACTTACAAGCACCAATACCATCTGATGCTAAAAGAACTATCGAGTTTAAAACCTGCGAAGAAAACTCAGATTCTGATGCCACAAATATTAGTCTATTTGAAGATCATATGGTTGAAACTGCAATGCATGTCATTGTCGGCCCTGAACTTCACAGAACTACCTTGGACGAAGCGGTTAATCATGCTAAAATCAATAAAAGGACAAAATCAGGAAAAAGAAAGAGGAACAAAACAGTGAAAAAATCTTTTATAAACTATTTGTTCGACGAAGAAAAACTAGACTTCTCGTCGAGTAGTTCTGACAATTGGTCATTCAAGGAATCAAACTCAAGCAGTTGGGAAGAACACGTTGCCAATAAGATGAAGAAGAGAGTTAAGAAACGTGCCAGTGTAAAACTTGGGAAAAATAAACAAATAAGAAAAAAGAAGAACTCAGTAAATAAACGTAAAACTACAAAGACCTTAAAAGATGCAGGAAAAAAGTTATGAAAACAAAAGTGGAAAACTTGTACCGGAAAAAAAAGAAACCTAATCCATGTATTCCTAGTAAGTGTACCAGAGGATGTTTTAACGTGTCTGAAGAAAGACGTTACTCTTTCCATCAATATTTTTGAAGTTTAGACACGCAACGTAAACGGGATTGGATAGTTCGAGTACGTTGTTCTCAATTAGTTTCCATAAAAAGGAGAAAAAAGGAAAGTTCATCCAATCGAAGAAACGCAACGTACGAGTATTTAATTAACCATAGCGAAGGCCACAAACAACTGTGTCAGAAGTTTTTGCTCGATATCTTAGACATTACTTAAAAATATATGGCCTACACCGTATCACATGCTACAGAGGATATGGCCCAAAAAGATAATAGAACACCAAATTCTCCACCAAAATATACAGAAGCTGCAAAAAATTACGTGACGAGCTTCATTGAAAAACTTCCTGCAGTGCAGTTGCACTATAACAGAAAAAGGACTAACAGAACCTATCTCCAACATAACAAGAACTGAAAACCGAAATAAAGTTATATCGTATTTATTTATAAGATTGCTATGAAACCGGCCAAGAAAATGTTAGTGAGACTGTATTCAAAATTATTTTTAGGGAATACAATATCAGCTTCCATATCCCAAAAAAAGATAAGTGCATAACATGTATCAACGCTGAAAACAACAAAGAAACGATGACTGATATTGATAAAGAGTCAATGAACGCGCATATTGAAGAAAAAAATGCTACAAAACTGAGATTCAAGATCCATCAAAATATACGGAAATTAAATAATGAAACAATCGTTTCTAGTTTTGACTTAGAGAAGGTTTGAAACACACCGGATGGGGAAGTATGCTGCTAAATTATTCTCGTAAATATGCAGTTTACAACTTAACATTTTATGAAAGTGGTACACAAGACGTTTATTGTTACACATGGGGAGAGTGTGATCTGTGTTTCCATCCGATTACAATCACCACTCACGTCATGTAGGATTGCAGTTAAGCAAATTTATGTTGCAGAGGTGAACGGCATAGTCGGGAAGGGTCACCCTAGGCGAAAGTTTATCGACCAAATTGGCGATATATTAAAAATGGGCCAAATCAAGAGTACCTTTAACCGACGAGTGTGTATGCGTAGGTATATGGATGTGGGGTGCGAAGTCAGAAGTCCTCCACGTGTGCCTGGTAGTTGCGGGTCCCTCTCGATACGTCTGGAGGGAAGAGCAGATACTGGGCCGGTGCACCCTGGGCGCGGCAGTAATCTTCCTCGAGAAATGAGAAGAAATTCTTACTCCTTGGGGAATGGTACTGCCGCGGCTAATTATTCTGACATGGGGGGGGGGATCCGTCCCGGACCAACGGTGCGTTCCACTGCGTGACCCTCTGATCAGCAGAGGGCATAGCAGAGGAGTGAGGGCGGGCTCGGGGTGCACTTACCCTGCCTCCGGGCAGACAGTGAAGGATTCATCCTCTGCTGTCACCGCCGGTCTCGTAATCCCAGTATCGAAGTGTCGTGGAGCACGTCTCGCGGCTTTGATAGGGACCGAGGGTCTTGGCTTAACCGCCCGGACCGCGAGGGAGAAAACCTCTATAAAAAGTTACCCCGAATCTCAAGCGGCGACGCACCGCGAGAGGATGGATGGCTGACGGGGTTCTATGAACAAATCAGTCGTTAGTGCGCTCCTCGCCAGGGTACCTGCAGACCCCCTGGCGAGTAATAAATCCTCTAAATCTGCTTACCTTGGTAAGGGGTCTCTGCCAAGGTGGACCTTTAATTCCCCCATACTTGTGGGTACATAAAATGGAAAATGAAAATCAAAACAAACAAAAAACGAAAACCGCCGGCAACGGCAACGTAGAGGAGAGGAGGAACGATGCGGGGACAGAGTCCGACGCCGCATCGAGCAGCGAGGGAGGCTCAGAGAGCTCCCGACAAGTGGAGCCTGGGACCGCGGAGACCAGCAAGTTCTTCCGCAAGCGGTCCAGGCGGGATGGCGACCAGGGGTCGGCATCCGGTGAAGAGGAGGTTTCGGCCAGAAAAATCCCCACCAACAGGCGGGGCGGGCTGAGAGGCAAGGGGAGGGAGCTCTCTGCCAATCAGAGGGCCGAACGAGCGGCAAAGCTTGCCGAGGAGGGGCGCCACCCGGACGATACGGCTCGGGAATCAGGCGAAGAAACAGATGCGACTGGCAGCTCCGAGGTGGAGCGTAAGGCCAGATTCGTAAAGGAGGTGGAGGCCGCGATCAAGGTCGTGGCCAACAAGCAAAAGTCCTCCTCGAAATGCAAGGCCATTCCTGTGGCCTCCGCCTCCATCATGGCGGCTGCGGAGGCCAACTTTGCTGGGGCCGGGCCTAATGCGGACGAGGTGGCGAAGCTGCGGGCGGACGTGGCCCGCCTGACGTCCGCCATGGAGACTCTCCAGAAGGAGAATGAGAAGCTCCGCGCAGACCTGGCCAGTCTACAGGAGCCTGCCTCTCGCGCGGCGCCCCAGACGCAGCGCCCAAGCCAGCCCGTGCCGGTGGAGGACCAGGTTCTGAACCTGGTCCGGAAGGAGCTGGCTGCCTTCCAGCACCGGTTCTCCGTGCTGGAGGGCATCGTCCTGCGCCCCCCCCCCCCCTAGGGGCAAACAAGACGGCGGCGAGGCCGGCAACGGTTTCTTACGCGACGGCCACGGCTGCCGCATCCAGGCCGGGGCCGTCCAGCCAGCCCTCGGGTGGGGCTGCAGTTGCCCCTCCCCCCCCCTGAAAAGCCGGCTCCGGTAAAACCGATACCGGCTGAACCGGCTCCGGCTAAGCCGGCGACAGGAAAGAGAGGCAAGGCGAAGGCAAAAAAGGGCAAGGCGGCAGCAC